CAAGCCAAGTTTTTTTCCATGTAAATTTCTAAAATTAATGTAAAAGTTTCTATCAAATTTCCAACTTTTCAAACTAAAATAGTGATCAAAATAAAATTTTTTAAAAATCTCGCAAACCTTGGACTCTTGGAGCTCAAATCATTTCCAAGTTTTTATTCTGGAACATTTCTGAGAATTTCAAATGTTTTTAGTTTTTTTCCAGCAATTTTTTCTGGAAAGTTTCTGGAATTTTAGTTTTTAATCAGAAATGTCCTTTTTTCTATTTCACTGTCGGAACATTATCACAGATTATACAAACGTATATTAACACAGTGGAAAAACGTCTCTGCATGACAGTCAAAGTTTGTGAAACAGGTGCAGCTCAGCGCACAAAGTGTCCAGGCCTCAGAGCGAAGGGGGAGGATGAAGTGACGGCCCGCGAGTGGGAGGGAGGGAGGGAGGAAGGGAAGGAGGGAAGAAGGGAGAATTGGAAGGAGGGATGGATGGAGGGAGGATGGAGGGGGTGTAGAGCAGCAGAAACTTCCCATGTTGGCCTCCCAGTGTGGCTACGTAATGAGGGCAAGGGACACAGACACACACTCACGCACACTCACAGACACACACTCGGGGCCAAGCATGGCCCCACGGCTGATTAGCGGCGCACAAAGGCCCCAAACAGAAGTAGCAGAGGGCGCACAATGGGAGCAGGGCCTCAAGGCGTGGTTTACTTCTGCCCTGAGGACGGGGCGAGAGAGAGAGAGAGAGAGCGGGGGTCCGGGGCGGGTTGGGGGAGGAGGCGCCGGTTCAGACGACTCCACAGCCACAGAAGCAGAGAAGAGTTTTGTTTTTGTGACGATGAAGACGTCTTGGTTTTCCTCCCACAGAACTTAAATACATCTCATTTCCCCAGCAGATAAATTTAGTCTCTACATTTGAAACCGAGGGAAAAAAATAACCGAACGACGTCTTTACACTGCAAAAGCACAAAATCTTACCAAGTATCTTTGGACTAGTTCCCCGTGAAAATATCTTAGTACTCTTGAAATACAACAAAACTAACTTACAGGTAACATTTTAGCGAGATATGAGAGTTTAATTCAAGTAAATAATTTTTATTGTTGATTAAAAAAGCGATAGTTCCACTGGCAGATTATTTCACTTTCACAACAGTGGAGCTCATTAGTAACTGATAATTCATCAATATTAGGGAATTATTTACTAAAATAAGCTTGCATGTCTTTCTAAAAAGTTATTTGTAAATTAGTTTTGTTTTATTTCTAGTGTTCCAAGATATTTGCACTAGAAACTAAACCAAAATACTTGGTAAGATTTTGTGTTTTTGAAGGGTAATAATTTAAAGAAAAGACTTAAACTGATTCTGAACAGGATTTTAATGAGCATCATGGATCTATCAGCTGGTTGTTTTATCATATTTGTCTCAAAAATACCTGCATCATTAAATCAGCGGTGTTCAAAGTGCAGCTCAGGGGCCGTTTGTGGCACCTGGGATGATTTTGTGTGGCCCCAGATTGCAATGGGGCTGAAACGATTAATCGAGATTAATCGCTTGTTGAAATAATAATCAACTAATTTAGTCATCAATTAATTATTATTTTGAGCATACAGATGAAATAAAATGCTATTGGCTGAAAAGACAACACAGTGAGAACAGTAATGAAGCCAAAACTGCACAAATATACTGACAGTTAAAGTGTGAAACAGGTGCAGCTCAGCGCACAAAGTGTCCAGGCCTCAGAGCGAAGGGGGAGGATAAGAAAGATAAAATAAACTTTCTTTGTAAATGTGCTAACCACAACTGAAGTGATTCATGTTAAGCTTCAGTGATTTATAAAGTAAAGGAGGGTGCAGATCACAGTGAAGCCAGAGTACCCAGAGAGAAACCAAAGAGAACAGCTCCATGCAGAAAGACTAGAGCTGCAACACCCACTGCTGCAGGAGCATGTTGTCCTCTGTCCTCATCTAATTATCCAGAACTATTTTCTCATGTTTTATTCCTCAGATTTGTTTTTCTGTCAGTTAAAACAAATATTGATCATTTCAGCATGTATGTTCTGTTTTTAACCAAGAGAAAAACATGTAAAATTATCTCAAGAGGCAAAAGAAACGAGCGACAAATCCACAAAGACAAATTAGCTTCCTGTTTTTGAGATTACTTAATGCTATTAAAATGCAGAACTAACACACACACACACACACACACACACGCACGCACACACACACACACACACACACACACACACACACACACACACACACACACACACACTCTCCATCCTCAGTGATGGAGAGGCTCCTTAAATAATTCAGAGTAATTATTTTCTGATAATCATTGGAGGACAGCTCGCTGTAATAAAATGATAAACGAGACAATTATGAGAAGAAATCCTCGGTCCGGTTTTCCTAAACACACTCAGGAGACGCAGTTCAAGTCATTCTGACAAGATGGTCAAAACCATTTTCCCTTTTCTCGACACGCTGAAGCTCAGGATGGGACTCTAAAACCGAAACGCTCTCACTGCTGGTGTGAACTTTAACCGAGAGCTAATGGTTCAGAAAGCACTGCACAGTTCTGAGGTAACCAGATCCATTTTACCAGTAAAGTTTTGGAAAAAATGTCCTTTTAGGAGTAAAATCTTTTAGTCAATATTTCTTCTCTTTCTGGAGTAAAATTTCTGTACATTTCGGTCCGTCTGATGATGTCACTTTAAAATATTAAATGATTGATAATTTGGTCAGTTACTTGTGTTCTTCCAGTCACAAGTAACTGACTGGAAGTTACAGTTAGGGTTAGGGTTAGGTTGTCAGATGCTTTTGGTCTGATTTTGCTCCTATGTGTTGAGGCTGTTTGGTTGTAAAATCTGAAGATGAAAGAAATATAACAGTTGGCCGTAGGTGGCGCTCTTGCTGTCCACAAGAGAGGTGAGCTGAACCTGCGAAGAAGAAGACGTTCGAAAATAAACGTTGCCATGTGCGACTTCCAGTTATCAGCTTGAACATTATTTTAGTCGACCGAATGTTACATACACATTACGAATGCAAACTTTCACCAAATACTTTTTAAATCTTCCTTGAGTCATTTCTTGCATGGCTACTTTTTACTTTCATTTTAGTAGAAACATGTTGAAGTAGTGCTACTCTTACTACAGTTTTTGCAGACTGTCCACTTCTGAAGTACTTCCATGTTTTTTTATTCAGATTTCTGTTGGAAGCTTGAATAAGTTCAAATTTTATTCAGACATCCTCTGTAAACTGTGACAGTTTTATCTCATTAGGAACATTCCTAAAATTCCTTAGATCAACAGAGTTATTTCTGTTTGGTAAGCGCCAAAATACTGAAAGAAATGTATTTATTATTTCTTCAAATTCAAAAGTTTATGTGATTTCACACCTGATATTCTGGTCAATTCGGTTGGATTGAGGAGCAAAATTGCAACATTTGTTACATTTTCAGTCAAACCAACCAAACTAGTTTAAAAACTTGTTCCCCTCCTCGCCAGTGGGGGCGCTGCACCAAGAACAACAGGAGGAAACGACACAAAAACCTCTGAGAAAACACTGAGCGCAACGAGCTTCTTCAACAAAAATGTAAACACAAATGGAGCAGTGTCAGGTTTTAGCGGTTGAAGGATTTCTCCATTGATATATGTTAGCATCTGCAGCTAGCGCCGCGCTTCTGGAGGCGGCCATTACTGTGAGCCGCTGAATCATGTCTGCACACCCAGACTGTTCCCAAAGTGGTTTTAGTGTCCTTACCTGTGCTCTCTATAAAATATGGCTCATTTTTAAGTCCTAAAGAAAATGAGCCAATTAGTTTCTATTGAAGGTTTAAAAACTAAACATGACTGTCGTGAATGAACCTAAGATTTCTCTGCCATAATTTAATAAGTTTTGCTTTCAAACAGGGATGGGCTAACATGGTGCATATTTGGATTTAAATGTCAAGTTTTATTTGTATTATCATAAGTTCATTAGAATGAAATAGCAGTTCCTTCTAACCAGGAGAGACGAGCAGAGATCAGAATGACGGATGTAAAACAAAAACTCAACAAACATCAGAAAAACTAATTATTTTACAACGAAATTAGAGAATAAAAGGAGTGGTAAAAATCTTACAGCATGACGATGGTGACTGTCACTTGGCTCCTAACAATCATATTTTATTTGTTCTGAAAGATTTAAATAGATGGTGAAAGATTCTAAGGGATCGTTTTGACAAAACGATAAAAAAACAGAAATCAGAAATAGTTTTTCTACTTGAGTTGATGTATTATTGTCTGTCTATCAGCTCATGTGTGCACTAACGCTTTAGACAAATTCAACTTTGTGAAAATCTGGTTTCCTCTCGATGTAAAACTTCAACAGGAAACCTCTAGTTGTCATGAAAATCACTTTTTAACTGTTTGAGGTCCAGATTTTATTTTCCACGGTTGCATAAAAGTCGCTTCCTTTGCTGGCTCTTCTGGCTGGGATAGGCATGAAAGTGTGAGATCTGCACCACAAAGAGTTAAAATAAATCTGATCGCTTGGTTCGTTGTGCAAATCTAGTCAGAGGGTGTGTGTGTGTGTATGTATGTGTGTGTGTGTGCGTATGTGTGTGTGTGTGTGTGTGCGTGTGTGTGTTCTGTAGGTCCTTCTGAGCAAAATAACATGGAAAAGGTGATTTTCCACTATAGTGAGGATTCCACAGTAAGTTCCCCCAGGCTGCAGCAGAAACATGATTGAATTTTGTGTGTGTGTGTCTGTGTGTGTGTGTGTGTGTGTGTAGAAATTGGATTGACTCGACTATGACAGTTCAGACCTCTGCTGCACCTCCATCTGTGTGTCGCGTTTTTACTTTAGTCTTTGCTTAAGAATTTAACGTATTTGTGTCCAGCAGAGATACAAATATATGTATTTCCAGACAGTTTAACCTTTTACTTATTTTCCTCAGACAGACCTGGCAGATATTTGAGGTTTTTGTTCGTCTTGGTCTCTGACACTGCTCCTGTTTCTCCCTGTAGGTGATACTGATTTAGGAACGTCATCTCGGCTCAACAAATGAAGAAGATTTCACACTCCAACACACACAGACAGTAAATGTGCGAAACTGTTTCCAGGTGAAGAAAAGCAGATCAGAAGGAATCCAGGTGAACTGGAATAACACGGAAAAAAGGTAAAAAAGGATTCAGAGCAGCAGCCTTACAAACAATCTGGGTGGAAACATGATGTTAGCAAAACATTATTCACATTAATATCAATATTATGTTACTTTAACATAATGCTATCTCATTAAACAAGCTTTCTTCAGTGTTAATATTATGAGTTAATATTAATTGCTTTATAAATAGGATTGTTTTTCACATGTGTGTGGTTTATTGTAAGCTGCAGTATGTAAAGTTTATTGGTGTGAAACTGATATGTGAAAAACCGGAAACAACCAATCAGAGCCAGGAGGCGTGTCTTAGTGCTGCCAATCACAATCTCATCCCCCTCTTGTTGTGAATGCTACAAGAGGCTAATTAGCATAGCCACAGATGACATCTGATAAACTATTTCCTGTAAGTTACATTTTGCAGTAAGTGCATGAGGATGATGACAGCACTTGGCCCCGCCTCCTGGCTGCGATTGGTTGGTTTTGGTTCTTCAGACGACTCGGGGAGAATTTGGAGGAAACTGATCTTTTCACAGGTTATCTGTCTCATACTGACAATAAAAATGTAATATTATGACTTTTTTTCTCATAATTTATTATTTTTAGTATGGTCCTAATGCTCCACTGTACTCAAATCATTATGGGATGGCAACAGGATTTTGTCAAATAAAAACACTTTGTGGGATTTGTTCTTCTACTAAATGTATCAAGTTTCTCATAGATTTTTTCTTCTTTTTTTAAATTTTTTTTTACTTGTAATGTTAGTTAGTGTTGAACCAACCAGAGTTGCAGACAGAGAGTATCAGCTGCTGACGACCAGCGGCGGAGTGTAAACGATCGCACCGCCGCGCTCATAACTCACCGTCATATGAGGAGCTTGAAGGAAGCTGAACCCACAGTTTTTAGACTGTCCATGCTTCCTCCTTCTCCTCATCCTCACCGCCGCGGGTCATGAAACCGACTCTGTTGCATCAGACCAAATCCCTGCTCCCTCCGCCCAACTTCTGCCACCTCCCATCCACACACACACACACACACACACACACACACACACACACACACACACACACACACACACACACACAAGGCATTTGTTTGTCCACACTCTCAAACCACATTAGTGTGTTTGACCCGATTGATGAAGCGTTTTCTGTTGATTGAAATCAGGGTGATCAGTCACTGATGCCTGTTTACTGGGCGGAGATGAGATGATAGTGATGGATAACAGATTAATCAGTAAACACACACCACTGATGAGCATCCAGACCTCCACACACACACACTCTGTCTCTGTGGGGTTCACACACAATTTAATAAAAAAATAAAGTAAATCCAAAAATCTGCGGCTTTCCTTGATTTGTGGCTGTGAGCTACTTGTCAAAATCACGTTTTGATCATTTTTGTCCTTTTTCTAATACACAGTGTGTTGCAAAATCAACACACTGTGTTTCATTAGTTACATTGTAATTCTAAATGGGTCCAATTCAACTTTCTCACCAGTAGCTGCGTTTTCATAAAAAAAGTTAGCAAAACTTTGCCAATATTCTGCTAATGTGAAAAAAATACAATTTTGCAATATTGCAGCAGTTCTGTTAAATAAGATGCACAATAATAATCCCGTGACTGAGTTTGTTCCAGGAGTCAGTCATTAAAAAAAAACAGTCTTCCTGTCACTTCCTGTTGTCTTCTTTGTGGTTTTCGCAGTAGTAACTTCTTGTTGTTGATTGTGTGAAGCAAAAACAGCATTTCCATCGCAGTTTTGGAAAATACACTAATTTTGATGTTTAAAAAAATGTTGACATAATTCATCTATGAATGACTAAAAATACATGTAAACTATTTTCAGATCTAATTTTGGTTGGAAAAAATGTCATATTTTAATTTTCCAACATCCCATAGAAGAAACATGTTTATCTTTCTTTTCTTTTAAACCTAACATTAGTCATAAAATGATTTTTTTTAAATAACACATTTCCTTCAGTAGATATTCACAAAACAATACAAACCATCTTTTTCAAAATGTCACGTAACATTAATTTAAAGACAAACGTATGAGTCCTCACTCACTCATACATCGGGACTATTTATATATTATTGCTCTAGATTTGTTTGAATTGCTGTAACTTTTTGAAAGGCCGTTAATAGAGGTGTGTTTTGTTTCTGTAGGGACTGTGTTGGTGCAGTGCTGGTGCAGTGCTGGTGCAGTGCTGGTGCAGTGCTGGTGCAGCGATGGGATGATGTGAGCAGCGCTGTATCTGGCGGCCCCCAGAGCTTCCTTTGTGCTGCTGGAATTAACTACGACTCGTCACGTGTAACCGACTGCTAACCTCCAACCCCATTCAGGAATCGTCGCCTGTGTGTGTGAGAGGGGCAGAGAAAGGAAGAGGTCAAGCTGTCACAAACACAAGCAAAATCATTGTTCCCAATGGAAAAGCACAAATCCACTCCAACCAGAACAAACACACCAATGGATATGCTTACAAAAACTGGAGATCTCTACTCTGAATCTGCTGGAAATTAAACATGATTTGATGAAACTGCACATATTAACATAAACTCAAATGTGGAGTGATTTCAACTGAAGTTTGACGTAGTATTGTAATCATTTACTTAGCAAACTTAGTCATACATAAATTTAGCAATTTCTTTTTGAATTATTTCAGTTTCTTCAATGAGCTTTTTTGTTTTTGCAACAATGAATGAGACTGTCATTAATTTCACAGCAGCATCTATAGACACGTTGCAGTGTGAGACCCGCCCCCTGCTGCTGGCTGACGATGAATAGCATTGGTTTTAGTGGTCAAGTTGCCAACATGACACGCTAAGTCTTCACTGTACGGGTGATATATAAGAGAAAACGGTGTCAACAGAAAGACAACTGTTTATTTTGTGATTATTAACATTAGCTAATCTAACAGCTTAGCTAATTTAATCACCTGCTCAACTGTTGCCTGTTTTTTAACTAAACCAAAACACCAAATTCAGCAGCACATCTACATGTTAGATTGTCATAGTCAAGCTAGCAAAACTGAACTACTTTGCTATCCCTTGCTCTTCTTTTTGTAAAGTAAAACCTTTTTCCTGATCTTGTTATCCGTCTGTTGTAGTGTAGCAAAGCTATCACATCTAATACTTGGCACGTTATACTTTACAGCTAACACCAATGACAGCCTCCTTACTGGAGTGTCTCTCTATGCATGGTTAATGAAGAAGAGTCGTGAATAAGTGCGGGTTGTGTTGAGGATGAAGGCATCGACCGCCTGATGACACGAATCACAATACAGTCTCAGTCTGAGACACAACAGCAGACAAAACGCTTTTCTTCTTTTATTTCACATAAATAAGAAGGAACTCAGTTATGTCAAATCCCATTTTCTCTGGTCTACAGTGTTTTGTATTTTCTCAGAGATTTTCTTGTTTTATGTCATTTTAAATATTTAACTTAACCTTATTATTTGATAAGGTTAAATCTTAAATTATCCTGTTTTCCACTGACCTGTCTGTTGTGTTCCTTGGCTGGTTGTTTGCTAATGTTCTCCAACAGTGTAGAAGAAATACATTTTTGGTAATTAATGGGATAAAATAAGGTTGGCGGTGAAGTGATAAGAACCTATATGGTGCCAATTTGTCAATTCAGCAGCCAGGACAACCCAGACTGGGAGAATGGCCAAGTACTTAAGTGGTTTTACACAGAAAAGTGTTTTCTTTTTTTTATGCAATTTGTTTGAAATTCCTGCCTGTGAAACGAAATGTATTGTAATGTAAAAACACATTTGTCAATCAAAACCATACATTAAAGGAGGGAAATGCTGTAATGGGCATAAAACCTGATACAAGAGGCCCAATCACGTGGCAAAGCACAGCAGGAAGGTGTTTATTATGCTGTCACATCTCAGCAGGATGCAGTAAAATAAATGCCTCTTTGCTAAAAAAAAAAAAAAAAAAAAAAAAAAAAAAAAAAAAAAAAAACGTGTGCTGGTTTGTGTTTTATTTTGTGAGAGTTCAGTTCAGTTTATTTAAATAGCACCAATTCACAACACGTTGTCTCAAGACAAAAAATAAAGGCAATCCTTACAATCATTCCAAGTTACTCTTCATGGATGTGACAGATGTGACGTTTTGGTGTTTCTTTCTTCTTGTTTTGTTTTTAATCTCTGGAGGCAGAGGTGAGTTTTTTTTGGCCATATGCTGTGAGTGGATATAATGTATTTTCATATCTTTGGGTTTCTAGAACCAAAGACATGAATGTTTGCAAAATTGTAATGTTTGCAAGTAGTTTCCTGCTAAATAACTAAAACTTTATTCTTTCGTCAGATTATTATTATTTTCTCATCGCAGCCCAAGCTGACCTCGACACTTGCCAACCTTTCTAGCTTATTCCCTTCCTGGCACCGATTTGCATCTTTAAAAGTATTTTTTTTGTTTTGTTTTTTGTGAAAAAGTGTTTTCACAGTACAAACATTCAGATTTGATCCTGGTTACCAAACAACACAGTCAAATGTATTATTCTGAGAAAACGATAAATGACTTTCAGCCTTCACTCCTCCTGAAGCAACAGCAGACAGTCACTGGCTCTGTCTGTGATATTAAAGATAATCTATTATGAACATTTTTATCCTTCCATCTGTTTCCGACGACATGTTTATGTCTTTTAGTGTTTGGAAAACGAACCGTTTCAAAAACCTTCAGAATGTTAAGTCTGCCCTGTTACCTAGCAACCCCGGTCCAACCCAGCCCGTCGCCTAGCAACCCAAGAAGAGCTCCAGCATATTTGGTCAACTGGTTTTACTGCTGTACAATGGCTGCTGGAAAGGACAAGAGTTTGTTCTACAGGTGCATAATTGTGCATCTGTTTGCAGCCACTTTGAAATGAGTCTAGGGGGCGTGGCCAGCAGCAGCTTATTTGGATTTAAAGTGACAGGACGCCCTGAAACAGCTCATAAAACATGCAGAACTGAGCAGACTAAACTCTCAGTCTCTAAGAATGACTGTGTAAACAATGTGAAGAACATTTTATATAACCCATATACTTACTCTAAGCTATTCAAGGAAGTGCTATAGGTCTCCAAATATTGAGCAATTAAAGTGGGAGCAAGAGAAATGTTTGAAACATTTTATCACTGGCAAAGACGTTGTTCATGTGGCTTGGGACGTCGATGTTCGCTGTGATGGATAATTGTTTTCTGCATACAGCAGTAAATTTAGCAGCAGAGCTTCTTCACGATCAAACGAGAAAATAGTGATTGGGTAAAGATTAAAACTTCAACCAGAGTCCACACCTCCTGCAAGCCATTGATTCTCAATAGTCGATGGTCAAACGAAGCGCAGAACGAGGGGCTAATTTCTACGGGTTACTATCATTCCAAAAATCAGCTGTTAAGATATTATTCTATGAACTGTCTACTTTCTATAAACAGAACATATAATAAAACACAAAATCTGCCTTTGCAGAATGTTCAGGTATTGCCACCTCCTTGTGCAATGATCTTCTCTGCAGTGACATGAAGCTAATATTACTGAGCCATGTGTTACAGGATACTCGTTTGGCTTAAAGTGTTACAAAGCAACCCAACAACCTCTAACATTTGACCGTTAGTTTTCTGGATTATTTCTTTGTTGCCTTCAGATGAAATTCTAATCACCTTAAACAGGATCTCCTCCGCCATTGACCAGTGAGCAGCTTTAGTGCCGTGTGAGGCTGCATGAGGACATGTGTGCTGCTCAATCATTTGGAGCATGAAGAACAGAAAGAGTTTGCAGATTAAGGGAAACTCAGGGGATTAAGGTCATTTCCTGTGTTTAAGCTGTAAATTAGCCTTTCACTACCACAGGGGAAAACATACTGAGTGCCACGGTACGCTCAGGAAAACTTGTACAACTGTCTCCCCAGAAACTTCACACAGAAGATTCCCCTATTTGGTTAATGTCAGAGGATATCTGGATATTTTCCTGCTCTCAGGGTGTTTTCACACCTGATATTCTGGTGTGAACAGTATGAGGTCGCTTTCATACTGCACCATGTCAATCTAAACCAATCGAAATCCCATTTTCCCTCCAGGCCAGTGGGGGCGCTGCACCAAAACCCACTGAAGGAAACACAAAAACTTCTTTAGAAGACATAAGCACAAATTTTGCAGCATCCAGTCACCTGAGTTTGATTTAATGTCAGACCAGAGGTTTTGGAAAAGTCGCTGGAATTTTAAAATGGCGACACCCAAAATCGTGATGTTAAGTTTTACTTTCCAAACGCAAACACCACTTTCAATTTGTTCAAATTAGAGTTGCAGGCACTGCATGTAACATTGATTTTAAACTTTACTCTGTCTTTTACATGTGTGTCTTGTCAAATAAATATGTTTCCTTCAAATCTTATGATGAGGAGCGGCCATCTTGAAACGCAAAGTTTGCCTTACAAGTTGTAAGGCAAGTTGTAGTCTGAGTTGAATAGAGCCATTTTTTGTATTATAGATTGTAAAACCTTTTAAAATATCACAAGGAAGCTCCATAGATCCATATTGTTTGTGCAAAAATAGTAAATTTACAAATATTTTACAAATAGTGTAGTAAACAAAAAGCTAAGTTTTAACCATTGGTACTGTATACAAAACTGGGGATTTTCTGTCTCTTCACTCACTAGACATATTTTTGCATGTCCAAAATTGCTTCTTTTTATTTTTTCTTGAATACATTTATTATTTATTTTCATTCAATTAAAGTTAAACAATAAATTATTATAGCTGACAAAGGTGAAGTTACTTTTTAGAAATCCAGTGTAAAAAAGCAACAACAAAAAAACAAATTTAGTCACATTTTACAGAAAAAAACAAAACAAATTCAAATCACCAAAATATATACTTTTTGGCACTACCAGAATTCCCTACAATCTCTTTTTGATGGTTCCTGGTCGCTGACATCTGAAAATCTCAAATGCTTTTTATCATCTTCTGGCTTTCCATGGATACCAAATACATCTATGCTTAACAGTGAGGAGGGGCAGTTATGGGTGTAAGGGCAAAAAGCTTAAAATCTGCCCCCTGTTGCAGGGACTTGGGAAAAATGCATTTAATTTTAAGGCGACTTTGTTATTTCCCCTCATATAAATAACATTTTCAACAGACATTGTGCTGCACAGAAAACATTAGTTAGAATTTAATTTTCTCTGTTTCTTGTCATTTCTGAATTGTTTTTCAAACATCTATGCTTTCACTGTACGGATTCAGAAGTTCACTCATTGTTTCCAGGAAACAGTGACTGTTGATCTGCTGGGATGTACATTTCATGTAATGACGAATAGAAATATTGTGCATTTAAACCGGATCAGTCGAAGTAAGACGCTGGAAGTTTCAGTACCAGCTACGTTTGTTTAATTCTCCACTTTAATGTTCTCTCCCCCCCTTTCCTGTTTATATGCAGCTTTTTATAGTGAATAATCTATCCTGTCTTCTCTTCCATAAGCTCTTTGTTGGTTCATTAGTGACCTCTTTCACACACACACACACACACACACACACACACACACACACACACACACACACACACACACACACACACACACACACACACACACACACACACACACACACACTAGACAGAAAAGGCTGTTTGCATGGCATACTTTTAGTTAAGCAGAGTGGCAACATTGTCTGCAGTCAGTTTTGACAACACTGGTGTCATTTATTGTGTGTGTGAATTTGTGATAGTCTGACAGAGGATCCACTGCATGAGATTGTGTGTGTGTGTGTGTGTGTGTGTGTGTGTGTGTGTGTGTGTGTGTGTGTGTGTGTTTAATTTAACATTGTGAGTCTTTATTTACAACCGTTTGTTGGATCTATGACAGGGAGCCCTGTTTTTAATGAAGAGCTGCTTTTTATGAGCGAACAGTGACTATCACCACTCTGTACTTATAGCAGACAGAAGTGTTTTAAACTCAAATTAGTCTGAGTGTATTTACAGCAGAGCAGGATAAAAATCATAAAATATCAGCAGTCTCCCCCAGAAAACCAGCTACGCTTGCTAGTTTTCTACATCATTTTCTCTGATAAAAATGTTAAAAGTTTTTATCTCGTGACTACATAATGAGGTGTTATTAACAATACTTTATGTCTAAATTATGTTTTTTTTTTTTTGTACTTCAGTTAAATTGCAATTAACTAATCAGCCAGTGATGTTAAAACATGCTGGTCACATTTAAAAGTAAATGATTCCCAAACCTGATATGTTTGCTTCACTAAATATCCTTAGGGTACAAAATTAAAGTATTAATTGTATGAAGTTTTCTTGTGTTTTCCTAAATCGTTTTGTTTTGTTCAGTAATGCTGTTTGGTGGAGTATTTTGATTTTCTGGTTATTTATCCAACCGGCAGGATTTTCATGAAATACTCAGAATGAAAAAGTAAAAGAGGTCAAAAAGGTTTGAAGCATAACGTATTGATTCAGGGAATTCATTCTGACATAATTTCTGTTATTATGTTTTTTGTGGATGGTTTATATTTAATAACCTGCAGTTTTATGTTAGTAAATATAGAACATTTAATTTTTTTGTACCTTGTGTTTGTGGCTGAGGAGTTGTGGGGTGTTAAAAAAACTGACATAATGCCTGTTATGAGCATGAAGGAGTCTTTATGAATGTTTTTCTTTTAATGGGCTTATTAATAATATTATTAATTATTAACTTCATAACAGTCAAACATTCATGAAGACTCCCAGTGCTAACTACTAACAACCAATCAGAGCCAGGAGGCGGGGCTTAGTGCTGTCAATCGATGTGCAATGGTGGTTGCACATTCTTCAGCATTGATTGACAGCATCAAGCCCTGCCTCCTGGCTCTGATTGGTTGTTTTTGTTTGGGAGTGAAGCATTTCGTCAGACAGCAATAGCAGCTCTTGGAGGAGGTGAAAGTTAGATACCGCAGCTTTAAGTAAGACACAATTTCTCAATTTGAACTCAGCGCCCTGCTGTTTATTTCGGGGTCGTGTTTAACTTTGTAGGATTTCAGTGCAGTGCTGTCAGACGCAGCGGGGAGGAGCAGCGTTGACGTTTGCTTCCTCAGATAAGGGCCTTACATGCCTAAAACGGAGCGCGAGGAATAAAGCAGAGCGACTCCAACAGTAAATCTAGTGACCTCTCTGTGCCACCCTGAAACACACAAACACATTTCTGTCCTCACCGCAGTCATGGCTCCGTCCTTCTGGGAAAGATCTGAGCGGGGCAGAAGCTTTAATCGAGACAAAAATGGCTCCCAAATCCTTCAGCCATTGGTGGGTGGAAACCCCACGGAGCAAAGAGGAAATGGAACGATGGAGAGATAGAAGAAACGCAGAAGTGATCATGAATCCCCAAATCCTTGAAATGAAACTTAAACAGCTGACAGTGAAAATATTAATATATCAAACTCTCAACATCTACAGTTAAAACCTGTTTTTATTCTTTTGGTTTTCTCATCTGCTCACTATTGATGCCATACAAACACGAATTCACAGATATTAACTTTAACACAGCAAGAGTATGATAACTGATTCCTGTTTAATTTTTGCTTTCTGTTTCATAAACCTTTGCTAATTTCTTGGTTTTAATTTTCTACATTGATACACTTTCAATGGAAAATCT